AGAACGGATTTTTCATCAATCCATTCTTATATTCTATCACTCCATTACACTTCTCAGATCCCATCAGCCTGGAAAGCACAAAAATGAGCATGACAAGAATCAAGAATGAGTTTTCGGATACCGCCCACCTTGCCTCGCCTTCCAGTACTGTATGCGCCAAAAACACCCGTATAATCTGGTAGACTTCAGTGGAAGTTCAGATGCGGTCGAAAGGGTTGAAAATCGCCCGCCCTCGCCAGCGTCGTCAGCTGATATTAGGGGTTACGATACGTCAGGGGTTATGATACACTAGGTGTTTTGACACATTAGGCGTTATGACACATTAGGAGTTGTGATACATTAGAGGTTATGGACGTTAGGCGTTATGATGCGTTAGGCGCTATGAAACATTAGTGGTTATGATACACTAGGCGTTCCGATACATTAGGTATTGTGATATATTAGGAATTGCAATACATTAGGAGCTGTGAAACATTAGGTGGTTTGATACACTAGGCCTAATGATATATTAGGAGTAGTGACACATAAGGAGTTATGATATATTAAAGGTTATGAACATTAAGCCTTGTGATACGTTAGGAGTCACGAACATTAGGGGTTATGATACATTAGGAGTTATGATATATTAGAGGTCATGAACATTAGGCCTTGTGATACATTAGGCGTTTCGAACATTAGGTGTTGTGATACATTAGGGGTTACGAATACTAGGTGCTGCGATAATCCCCCATTGAATGGCGTCAGGAGCCTTCGAAGTTTATCTGGTAACCCCGCCCCGACGTTACTGCGGGACGCCTGGACAAGCCACAGCATTGTAAACCCATAGAAAAAGGTCTTTTCCGAGGCGACCAATGTGCAGATTGAGAGGGTGCAGACAGCTGAAATGCTTTCAGCATTAGGCGGAACGTGTGTTCTCTCGTACGCCACGTATGCCTTTGAAGCTCAGCGCCTTGGCTTTCAACTGCAAGTCATTTTGCGCGTGTGCTGCAACGCTTACCTAGGTGGCGTTACAAGTACCAACACCCGTTATATAGATGGCGCTTATGTTGTTCTTGGGCTTATACTCGTCCAGTTTTCCTACGTGCTAACATCCTGCGTCTCCGCGCGTTCTGCGTGTTGGAATACAGACTGTGCTTGCCGGGTTCGAAATATCCTAACATCGTGCATGCAAATACCTTGCCCCTATTTTGTTCGGTCACTGAGGCATATTCTTTGCTCATCCGCCTGTCATTCTAGTCTAAACGTCACATGACATTCGGTCCCGTATTGGTCACCTACGTGTGTGAGGCTGCTAAGTTTGACGTTGGTTTGAAAATTTGTTAGTCGTCTTGGCATGATTGACGCTTTAAGCTCTCTTGCATTCGCTGAATATTGGGCGCGTGACATCGGCATGCGACGTTTCGGACTCACCCTCAGCATTAGGTGAGGAGGTCGGTGGAAGAATAACTCGTCCCCGAATAACGACCATTCTTCCCATGAAATGCAGGCCATATGCAGAGAGCTTACAACCCCAAGCAAGCTAATAATTTCAGCGCATATGTTGCGATTTACCGGGATGTAAAGCACATGCAAAATAGAAACACGAGACAGATATGCAACACGATACCAGATACTGATACATTTACAAAATGCAGGAGGAGGAGCAAGCAGCAATAACACCAAAAGGGTCGTAGCAGTGCCCAAGCAAGGCGTCATGCTATCCGCGTCGAGACAAGCGGAGATGCGCCGGAGCCTTTGCGTCCGGGCCAACGGATAGCACGATGTAGTCGGGAAGGCGTCACCTGCCTTCTACGCATCAGAACCACGTCTCCCGGCAACACGTTCACCGGCTCCAGGAAGCGTTCAGGGACGCGGAATCTGATCAGCCTGCCATCTCCATTCAACCAGAGGAATAGTGAGGAGCTTCTTCGGAATGCCTGAAACGGCCAATGCCGGTCACGTTAAATAACGTTAATTAACTATTTAATGTTAATTAACTATTGTTAATGTTAATTAACTATTGTACACGTTATGGGTATGGGTATGGGCATGGGTGCACGTTTATCAACTATTGTCGGCGCTTCTTTTAAAGCACTTTGACCCCATCTAACGAAATTTTGGTACCCAAGGCAGCATCTGTCATCTGTACTAACAGTTTGGTAGCATTTTACTTTGATTGCCCGAAAACACCAATGAACAACAAATACCCCATCAGAAGCATGGCCTGGCAAGGCGCCGAAAGGTTGGGCACTCTGGCATGGCTGACCCAGCCTAAAGCCAAATTTTCAGACGTCTGTCTAACTAGCAGCAGTTTTGTATCAAGTTGTATATCGATATTCAGGACTCTCACGATCTGGCTAAAAATTGCTAAGCTAATAATATGAAGCCTACGCGTTTCAAAACCTGAAAGCGTGAAGTGGGCATCCACAACTGCCCGAAACATTTTAGGTTGAGGTTCAGGGTCAATGTGGGGGGGGGGGGGGCGGACGAAGTTTGATGAGTTCAAAGCGTGCACTCGTAGGCCAGTGCCCAATTTTTCGAAACGTTGAGTTTGGGCATATATCTCGTGAAGTCCTGTTTGCTGAATTAAGCTTTTCGTAAGTTCAGATGCATTGACCGAGTTTTATTAGCCTGTCAACATCCAGCTTAATATTGGCAGCACGGAATTTCGACCGACGCTCCAGTCTAACTAATCTAACAGATGTGCTGCCAGCTTGACAGGCGTAGTTTTGGTGCTAAAAGCATTGGTTGGATCCTATATTTCGCAAACGTCCTGTCCATCCATAGACATATGAGCCCGGTTATTAGGCATTATCACCGGCACTTAAAATGCCCGGCGCTTGCCTATATTTTTGGCGTCTTTACGAGTGAGCAGGGTACGCCATTCATACGTCTGAACGTCGATTCAGAGCTCAACCCTCGCCCTGACTCCCCTTTTTCACAACATACACGGATAGGGGAAAAGCTACACAAATGTTTCAGCTGTTCGTTTCGAGCATATGACATCTAGTTTTGTGTGTTTTGAGCACATGTGTATAATGCAGGGCTCTTGTTACCGTAACAGGTGACGTGCCTGCCGCCGCCAACGTCGACTTTGTTGGTTGCCGCCCGCCGCTCGCGCCGGTCGAAGATTGCCATAAAAGATCACTCTTCAGAAGCCAAATGCTACGGATACATTTTTGTGTTCAAACGCGCGTAATGGATGCCCCAAATGCCACAGAAACTTGGGCACGATTGCGCAACAGGCTGAAAAGATATCCTCCAAAAACCGTAGGCAGGGAGAGGGCGCCTCGACAGTATTCTTCAGCCCATCAACCGTCTTATCAGGGGAGGCGTTGACATCGCCCATGGAAGTGTTTCCTTTGGCGTTGTTCATGTCAGGCTTGCTCGCAGGGTCCTTCGCGAGATGTAGCATTTGAAACTTAAAATCGCGTTAAGAGCCTTAATGCAATAAAATGCTTCGAACAAACCCCGGCCCTTAAAATGCTGAACAGGCGCTTTGTGTCGGCAGCCTCATGCCGCACTGCCCGACTTGTCTTGATGTCATTGAGAACTACTAATGAGGCGGTGTCCGCCGTATTCTTGTTACACGATGCACCACGACACGATTCTGTGCAGTAAATCTTTAGCGCTGTGAATCAGCTTTAACAGTACATTTACGCTTTAAACTTTATTTCGCAAACTTATGCGGTGCCATAGGATTGTGTGAACCCATGCCCGTAACCATGACAACGACAACAGCAATGGATTTTGTAGAGGTATCAGATTTGGCACGGCTGAAATACTAAGCATGCAACGGAAATGTCTACAAAATTGATCCGGTTTACTTACCGTATATATTTAAATAGCAAAAGTCAGTCAAGAAATTACAGCACACAATAAGGTCTTGGAGTGTATTGCGCAATTTTTCTTAGGAGGCCGTGTCTTTGAGGAAAGCTGCATTACCCCAGCAAACTAGCCTCTAAAGCGCCCGCGAGTACGTCACTGTTTACGAAATTCACATAACTTGTGGATCCAGCAACCATGGAACTGCATTGAACCCATTTGATTTAACCCATATTACCCATATTATATTAAATTATTACATAACCCATTGAACCCAATTATGATAACATCGTAACGGTTACACCCTACTTGGGAACCTTATGTTGCACCTTTAAATCAAGCACTTCACTACCCTCATCATTCTGCAAGATGTACGGAAAGCCCAATCACGTTTACATATACATCACACAATTGCACGTCGCGTAGCCAGTACGGCCCCGTGACACGGATCGGCCGAAACTGGCCCGGTCAGACCAAGCAACCAGCGCGGTGGTTGGATGACCCAGCGGTCAGCAGCCGCGGCGGCGGCCAGCTACATCGTGCCTGTTAGGTACACACAGTCAAATGCAGACATGACTCGAACACAGGCATTTCTAAACGAACTTGCGACGCGACGAGGACGTCGTTTTCATCTGAGATCGAGTCAAGTACATCAGTCGCACAGCTTTCCACCTTTTTATAACCCCCGAGATGCGTTTTAATTATGATGTAACTATCTTGCAGTTGAATTAAAAGTGTGCACTACGTTTATTGGAAAAGTATGAACGCAAATAACTTAGCTTTGTCGCAGACAAAATAGGCATCGAAAAGCCGGCATGGCATTCTTCGTAGAGAAAAAAGAATTCAGCCAGGATTGAGTACGTGGATGTTAACAATTCAGTAACATCACAAATCCGTATTAGGTAAGAAAAAGGTGTCCTTCGCATGACGAAAGGATCGCCGTGAAAATGTACGTGGGTGAAATGGCTGAAAAGAGGCATGCTTGGTGATTTGCGAAATATTTTTGGGAATGGGAAAGCGGAGCTTTTTATATGAGCAAGGCATTTGAGCCCATCAGACCTAGAGCCTTCTAGTTTCTGAGCTACACGCCCCCGGAGAAATGCTGCATATTTCAGTTATTCGGGTGTGCATCACGCCATACCAACGTCGTTCAAATTCTGCCACCCCCTCCCCCCCCCCACACACACACAGGCTACGCGGCGTTCAAGATGACGAAGAATGTATTTGTCGAGCCGTCCAGACCTAACTATTCTCTGGCTGCCAAGTTCAGCCGCTGGCGTCCACTTAACCGGCTGTCAGCTGCACCGGTTCCACAGGCTGTCTTCTTCACCAGCTCCATCGGGTCCACTAGTTCCACCGTGTCCAGCCGCTCTACCGGATCTACCGGCTATTGGCACCACCCTCGGGTGAGTTTATGGAGGAGAAGATAGTAGTGCGGACGGCGGCAATGCCGTCCGATACAAGGTGCAGCAGCCATGCCTTTACTCTTCGGTTCAGGGTGAACCCGAGAAAGATAAAGACTCCTCGTAGGGCGTGTAGCAGGCTGGTGACGTAGGTCAGTTCTGCGATTTTCATGATTTGAGATGTGATATCAACGGTCCAGGTCAGCCCCATGAGCACCGCCAGCCGGCAGTAGAGGCCCAGGTGCGTCTGAAATGGTAAATGAAATGGTAGAAAAAACGAAATAGACTTTGAATCCCCGGGGAAGGGTCCAAAGCCTAGTATAAAATATGACAGCAACGGCACACATCTCATTCATTTTAACCTTTACATTAAATGTCCCTTTCAAGCCCGCGGCTATCTTAATCTCGACCACATGTAAAAATGAAAAGTGCATACAAGTGAAACTTGAACAATTTTCTTTCAATTTCTGGCATCAAATAGGTGCGCGGTGGCACTCCTGCTCGCGCTATTAGGCAAAGCGTAGACCCGTGCACATATTGTCATGTTCAATCATGTAGTTGAATCCCGGTGCCGCCAACTTTTTTCAGCAGAATTGAGATAGAAAACAGAATGAATACCGCCACTGGCTCACGATTAGAACATTGTATACGAATGATCATTATATATATATATATATATATATATATATATATATATATATATATATATATATAATCAATACAACCTGTGGCAGAGGGTGCATAGCTTTACTGCCCTTGACGAATGGAACCCATCGCGACAGTGGCCGTCCGAAACCAGCCGTCCCCAGCGCGGCCAGAGGTAGGACCAGGCAGTGTGCTAGGTAAGTTGCGATGCTGGCGGCCATTGCTGCGCAGGGTCGGCAGTGCCCTTTCAGGGCCAGCACTGCAGCGATGACATGGTGACATTGCTAATGCCTGCCGTTTACCGTTTCTCCGGGGCTGTTCCGTCGGCGGCAGGGGTAAAAAACCGTAGACACTGTCTCCCTCCAGACTGCGAAGCCAGATTTTGTCTCCTTGACTTTTTCATGAAGCCCATGAACGCAAAATCGCATTGATCAACACTTCTCAACTGAGCTTCGGTCGGATCGCGACAGCATCGTAGTTTTACTTCTCATATCCCTGACCAGATGCCTGTTTTCCTACAACGCTTTCAACACCACGTGGTTGGCGAGGATTTTTTGTATTTACACTGAATTCACCTTGGATATGTACAAAATCGCGCCGACATGGTGTCAGTACAAAATGCCAAATACGCCGCGTACAGTTCAGCACACAACGAAAGCCTGAGAACCCTGCCTAAAGCACTTCAGCACTCGCCGTGAGCTCCAGAACGTTAACCGCGCACGCAAAATTTGATCCAAGAGGGAAGTCACGATGTCAACGCTCCTTTTCTCCTCAACTGCTTGAAAAGACAGGAACGATAAGATTGGGATGCTCTGTGCCGGGCGATCACCGTTCCCGTGAGCATGTGCTTCACGTTGACAGACCGCCTCACGAAGTCAAACCGGTGATGCTTCTGAACAGCTCTCATGAGATGTTCGGCACCATCAAGCTCAGGACCATTCCATCAAATCCTGAGCTCCTTCGCGGCATTGTCATGCCTCAGCTGCCGGTGCATGGAGAAACCTCCTTGAGGATGCTGCCCATGGACTCAACCACGCCTTCGACAGGGCTGAGCAGCCACACGCGGATGACTGGACTGACGAAAGGTTCGATCGAGGGCCCACGTTTCCACAAAACTTTCAACAGCTTGGTTGAAGCTAGTGTGTTCCTCACTACGCAGGACGCAAAACCATACCTCACAAATCACAATCAAGATCTAAGATTAATGAAATGCATGAAAAACTGTGGAAAACTGAAAACTTTACCATCAGTGCAAAGGTATCGGTTGATGCATGCAACCCTAGAAGAAATCGTCTGTGGTTTATTCATGTGAGGTAAAAGCGTGAAGTGTTTGGAGTATTTTGGTAAGAGACAATGTTCATTGTCACATTTTTCCTTCCCATTTACAGCTTAAAACTATTATCACATTGGTTAATATCTGCTTTGGTACACGATAAATTCCATTGTGTAGGTATTTTGATTGCTGCTCTGTGAGTAACATCACTGGTGTTAGCAAAACAATTTTGTGTATTAGATAACAATAATATGCCATTTTATGCACAATATCATGAACAGGCCTGAAATAAGGTGAGATGATAAACTGCATATTGCAATAAATTAATCTTGCAGGTTAACGGCGGACCAGCATTATAACGGTAGGCTTTTGCGGGCCGAATCATTAGCTAGACGGGCCTTTGCGTACTGAATTACCAGCTATGCTCTGTTTATCTTAAGAAAGAACGGAATTAAAGTGCTGCCAACGATTTTGCACGTTTTTTTGCGCGTGGGTCATTATTCGAGTGCGCTGTAACCCTAAAATTACCGGCATTATGACCGGCATCACTTTCGCGTTGCGGTAATCTCTTACGCAGTGAAAAGTTTTTATATTGTTTTACTTGTATATTTCATTGTCTTTTTATATCTTTTATATGTTTTAGTACCTACCTACCAATGAATGAAAAATCTAATCGAGCGTCTGGAAGGATTCTCGGGGCACAAAGTAGGGAAGTTGTTTACAATGTGTATCAACATCTTGTCGAAGACCGGGACGTGAAGTTGAAGGCGGGAGACGACGACGCCGTCCGGGAGAGTCCATTATTAATAACAGCAGCTGTAACGGGCGTTGGGAAGACTACAGTCTATCGCATACAACGTGAAGCCCAGAATGGTGCCAGACTGAAGTCGTCAAGCCGATCCTGACCAGCTGCAGCAAGACCCAGGGTGGATCTAGATCCGTTCGATGTTTGCGCGATGAGGAGAATGGTACACCAAATGTACATCGACGGAAAACATGTTACTCTGGACACCATCACGGATGCTCTTCACGGATAGCCCGGCGTCACCATGTCTAGATCCACCGCAAGAAAACACCTACTCGCGAACGGATTACCGAAGGATCAACAAGCGCAAGATCCTGATCGAGAAACCTCATATTGCAGCAACGAGATGCCAGTTCTTGTGGGAGATGAGGAAGCTGTGTGAAGAAGTTCGCGATAGCAAAATCATTTATACCGACGAGACGTGGTATAATCAGTACAATATGGAGGACATGGCGTGGCTGGACGGTAGTCAAATCAACGGACGGAAGAACGCCATTGGAAAAGGAAAAGGTTTTATCATAGTCCATGCCGGCTCTTCAGAAGGATTTATACCGGGCGCACTTCTCCACCTCAGGACCGATGACAAGAACGCCGACTACCATACGTCGATGAACGCCGACTGCTACGAGAAGTGGTTCACCGAGCGCCTGCTTCCGAATATGCCAGAGCACTCTGCGATCATCATAGATAATGCCTCATATCATTCCCGTTTGTGCCAAAAAGTGCCAACTTCTATCTGGCGCAAAGCGGAAATCCAGGAGTGGTTGCAGCAGGCAGGTGTGACCATCGACGAAGACATGCGGAAGGTGGAGCTGCTGGAACTACTCAAGTCCCAGAACCGGGAGAACGAATATTTTATCAGATCGTTCGCCTGCCGCCGTGTCACTGCGACTTGAACCCGATCGAGTTAGTGTGGGCACAGGTGAAGCGCGTGTTAAGACGGGGGAACTTGACGGGAAGGATGGAGGAGGTGGAACGGCTGGTGGAGCTGGAACAGCTGTCCCTCCAGAGGACTGGTATAAGTGCTGTGAGCACGTCAAAAGGCTGGAGCAGCAGTACTGGACGAATGACGGGCTGCTAGAAGAACCCCCACCGGTTGTCGTAACAAACGATGATAGCAGCGACTCCGGCACTGACTCCGGCAGCCACAACGATGAATGAGAACAGTATGACACATCGATCATGAGAAGTGATTCCGTTTCGTTGTTTTCAACTGACTTCGTAGCGTTTACGTGGATGTGGCATGTAGTTACGCGTGGGGTGTTTGAGCTCGATGTATTGTACATATATCTGCAGCTGAATGTTCAGCGTTTTGTTGAATACCTTCAATAAAACTGAGCGAATTAGTTTTCTGTGTTTGGGATTTTCCCATGTTATTCATGAAACAACACCAGTTTGGAGCAATTACCGAACGAAAGTGTAGCATAACTCTTCAGAGGTAGGCAATGAATTTGGAACGTAAAAATAATTGCCAACGAAAATAGCTCCAGCGCCAAAATATATATATATATATATATATATATATATATATATATATATATATATATATATTTCGACCAACCATATGGACATGAAGTTGCTGCAAGCAATGCAAACATCCAAAACTGCTATTGCTTCGAGAGGTCCGCAGTGCTGTCCTGCAGGCCTTCCGACCAATTTTGTTGAGTTTGAAAAAGTTTCAGCGTGATGCTCGTGAGGAATTGATTGACCAGCTTTAATTCCGTGCTTTCTTACGATAAACAGAGCATAGGCGGGGCGGGCTGGACGGCGGGCTGAATATTTTGGGGGAAAATTTCGTCTCTGCTCCCAAGATAAGGCTTGTGTTCGACAACTGATACATATACATATATATATATATATATATATATATATATATATATATATATATATTACGCGCATGATAGCGTAAAACCCGGTATGTGAATACAAGTAAATACCTTATATAGAAAACCACGAGAAAGGGTCAAAACACAAGCACCAAACCAACTTTGTTTAGCACATGCCCAGCACCGCCGCAGCTACCTCTCGGGAGATTTCAGTACTGCAAATGAGTGCTGTCATACAAACGTTCGGTGACGCAATGAAGCTAAGACCTATTGAGGAGTGTATTTACTACAGAGAGAATTTGTGTTGCGTAGAGCAGCATTTTCTACATTTAAGTATGCTGATAGTTATAGGTGAGCTTATTTTACCACATCTGATACTTGCCTCCATATCTTTAACTTCTCTTTATGTTCCATTTGTGGGAAACTGGTAGATGTTATGTCCACATCGAACAAAAACTACAGAACCCAAGTTTATTCGCGACATTAAACCCGTCGTGAACAGAAGCGCTGCTAGCTGTCCCTTTTTGAGCTAAAAACTGGCCTGGCAATAGGAAAATATCGAGACAAAACCTGTTCGGTGGTTTTATGCAGTGTATAGTTGAGTTTTTTGTGTATGTCCACGAATGTTCAGTTACATTATGCCGTACGTTTTCGAATATTTCTTATAGTGTCGACATTAAATGTACGATCCGCCCTTCAGTGAAGAACTTGTTTCAGTAAATTCGGAAACATTAAATGTTTAATTTATTTTACGTCCGCCATTTATGGAGTGTTTGATGGGTCTAATGATTCGTTGTTAATCACCCGGCGACGGATTGCCATCCGAAATATAGTGATCTTATTTTGGCCCATGTAGTATCTTTGCGCTTGTGTGAGTCTGCAGTCAAGGTGTTTTATGTATGCTATATGATTTGCTACGAACTGAATCAAAGAGGGGAACTCGCCAACTTATTGCGACTAAACTTATTAACTTAAGTTAGTTGCGATTGAATTTCGCAGTCAACCCAGTTTGTTCCAAGCAATTTAATGAGAGATCTGAGTTATTGTGCCGAATTATCGACTTTCATTGTATCAGGAGATGCCGTTAGCCGACGTTATAAGGCAAATATTGATCATGGCAGTGCCCGATGTCGCAAGCTGTGCCATCATCAGCTGTCATCACGACTGAAAACCTTTAACAAGGTTAAGCAAAACATCACTTACAAAAAAAAAATAGGTGAATCCGTAAAATGCTGTGATCAGTGCAGTCACCAGCACTAAAAAAAAATACTAAAAGCAATCGACCATATGCGCTCTCACATCCAAACCTACGATACACAATTCTACGCTTCGGGCTGCACAAAACACAGGCAGCTAGGCCAAAAGAACACGACGACCCATACCGGCTATTCGATCCTGTCGGGTTTGCGTGGACAAGCGTGGACGATATGAACGTGGCCAATTTCGCGCCGTCAACAGTTTATTAGGTTCACGATCGGTTGTCCAACACGTCGCGTAGTGTTAAGTTCCAAATTGAGTTATTTCTTTCTTTCGCTGACAGAAACGTTATTCTTCATATGGGCAGGAAAGCCCGTCGACTCTTACAAGAGATATAATCCTTCTCACTCCACCAGACCAGGTTCAAAACGCACGGGTCAACAACTTGCAGCCTGGAAAAATTTGCGTAATGCACTACTCTGTTATATCCGCGCTGATATGCAGATCTAGACCGGATAAGACTATGCCGCCGATCTTTCAACGCTCAAACAAGGAAATCGGCGCCCTCACGAACCCATCCAGGCAACGAATGACACTGGTCGCACATGGATGGCCCGCAACATGACGGCGCTACCGCCCAAGCGCAGGGCAGTCTGATAGGCATTGACAGGGTCCGTTTGGAATGTGGCTGGAGTGGAGCAAGGCGGGTGGCCAGCTCCCAACGCAAAAAGCGTTGAGTAGAAAAGTCAAACGGAAATGGTCAAGTGGGACCTAAAGCTCCCAGGAAATAACTTCAGCAAGGATGCACAGTAGTCGAATAATGAAGCAAAAGGGAGCAAAAACCCTGAGGGGTAAAAGTCAGTCATAAAATAGCTCGCAGGCATAAAATCGAATCACAGAAAGTTGGAAAGGAGTAAAAGTCGACAGCGATGGAAGTCCGGGATAGGGATAGAAGGGAACAGCTGAAGGACATTTCAGCAGTGGGTCTGGCTCTGAAGGTTGGTAGAGCTATTGGCACAGCTGTCAGTCAGTATTCCCTGCCCATGATGCATAAATTGAGCAAGTGTTGTGCGAGGATCTGACAATTTGTTTGACCTAAAACTTGCAATGACATTCGGTGTCGAAGGGTGTTCTGGGATCCAGGGTCTTTTTTAAAAGTTTGTCTGATCTTCTAGGATCTTCGATTTTTTGGGAATTTTGTTGAGTGGTCTTCCAAGACCTGGGATCTTTTTAAAACTTTTGCTAGAGGGTTTCCTGAACCTTGGACGTTGTTTGGCATCCAGGCATATGTCTGATCAAAGGTTACTTTATACCCCAGCAGTAAGCTGCTTGATGTGAACTGGTGCCGTTTGTATCTAACAAAAGTCTAGACTTTACGCAGGAACACAGTGATCCTGTCTTTTCTGCTCCGAATTGCATAGTCTACGCACAAATTAGGCATCAACAATGCAATTATATGCTTGTTTACCTCTGGTAATTATTTATAAGGGCCAAAGACACGTAACATATACAACCAGCAGAATGAACGTGGGGGATCACGCCAACCAAACGGTCCATTCGTACCTGAAATGAAAATGTGCTAAGATTTGGAGTAGCTTGTGTGATGACCGGAGCCTTCGGGAAGTGGATTATATGTGTATCAAATGCCTTAACGGTCATGACACGATGGTAATGGGCGGCATTATTTTGCTTAATACACGTGGCAGAAAGGAAGTACATAGTTCAAAATAACTTGATTTTGAACTTTGCACACGTCGATTTACGCAGCTGTGCGATGCACGATTACAGATAAAAATAACTCATGTATATCCAGCGTGAGCAAAGCAGGGAGGTCCGGTAGCACCACGAAGAATGGCAACTGTTTCATTTTTTCGGGGGGGGGGGGGGGTTTGAAACCAGACACCTACCTGCCAGTAGGCAGTCGCGCACGTAGATAATGAGTTTGTCGCGACCGGTAACATAACAGGATATGGTCTCAGCTGAGGTTGTTTCTTAGTTGGTGTGCTCGACAGCGGAAACACACATGAAGCATATACCAGGTGAGATGGACGATTTATTCGGAAGTGGATGCCGCCTTGTGCTTGTGAACTGGGTGCTGCTGAAGCTTTCTAAGTATCATGAGCAACTATATAATCGTGTACATGCCTTGAACTAATTTCAACCAGCAGCGATGTTGTACCCTTCGATGTGGTTCATATGTGAAAGATTGGCCCAAGTAATTCGGATACCATTAATAACACCGCTAGCTTTGGTGATCGTACAAATTATACCAACAGCAGACAAGCTTTGTTAACAGTATCAAAGCAGCTGGTTGGTGCCAACTGATAACAGCATTGTATGCCGTTTGAAATTAATGAATGGTTTAAATTCAAGACGGATAAACTAATACGCTAAGTCTTAGATAGGAGCGTATTAACCAGCACTGATTTGACCAACTTTTGTAGTAAGCCAGACCCGGTCGGATTGGGTTGAGAGATCTAAAAAAGTGGATTGGTGGGTGGATTGGACCTGAACTGGCCGGACCGGACCAGGCCGGATCCTAAAAATTCCATCCATGGAGTGTCCTAGCGTGACACCTTCATGAGCGACACTGCTTTGCATTGCAAGCGTGTCGGCCGGTGGCATTCAGACTTTGTTGATTTTCTCGCAATTTCCATACACTAGGCCTACGGCCTTGCCCCTGATCACCGTGAGTCGTGTGCTTCCACCAAAGTGGCTGCGCTGAGGCCTCCCGGTGAGCACCAGTCGTTCACAGAGCATGCGTGCGGCTTGACGCCCGAGGTCTCAGCACTGACCTGTGGCTGCCTGCTGGCCGGACGAGCCGTAGAAGACGACATCTGAGAGATCATGCAGGCGCTGGCGACGAACAGCACCACGTTCGTCGTCATGACGAGAAACACTGGTGCGAAGACGAACGCCAGGACCGCTCCGCGGTTGTTCAGCCAGCAGATCTCTCGGCCGAAGCGAGCCCAGAGGCTGTACGGCACGCTGTGTGACCCGTCAGCCAGCACAGCGACCGTCACCAGCGTCGCGCTGGCAGCGCACACGTACAGCGTGTAGAGGATGAACCGCTTCAAATGAGAGCCCCTGGAGACGGTCAGCTCGCTGCTCGTTTTCCTGAAGAACGCAGAAGCCATGCGTATTTACAGAGGTTCTGACTCATCTTCATGGTTCAAAATGTACTCTCATGGTTGCATCAGGAATTATCCTTTTAACTTCAAGCATACCGAAAGGCGGCATAAGCGTTGGAAAGCACAACTTGGCTCTGGTCTGAATACAAATTGAAATTGCTTGTGCATAGCGCTTTTGCTTCTCCTTGAAAAAGAAAATGGCGGAGAAGGTCATCCACACACGCATGATTTAGTATATATTTACAGCGAGAAATTAACCTGTACAGCTAGCTCGTGAGGAAGGATATATCATCGTTCTACACTTTTGTTTGCACTGCACAAATTTGATTTCACACGAAATATCAGCAACTGATCAAGCTAGAAGCATTAAATTTACGGGTTGTATTGGCCTGTATGTGAACTCAGCCGTATCAAAATTTGGGATTCCTAGGTTATGACCTTCGGTTCAAACAAAGTCAAACTCAAGGTTGGTGTCCGAAATGCCCCCGGAAACTTGATACCTGCGTAAGTTAGAGGTCAGTGGTGCTTATTTAAGGTCAGCGATCTTATTTGACCTTCTGCAGGTCATGGTGACCAAAATCATACAAGACTGCTTGGAGTTTTGTATTTAAATAAGCGTTCCAGTTTACGTTAGGAAGCATGTTACTAACCACAAGATTTTTGATTGGGTCATTGTAGGTCGGTGACCTATTCTGACATTAAAGAAGTCCGTGAAGATGTATAATGCGGTTCCAGTTATCTACAGACTCGAAATGAGCACCAGAAACTAATATATACAGCAAGTTCTGGAGTAATAAAACAGGTTGGTTTGACCTTGGTCCGACCTTTATGCCTGACCCTGGGTCAATGGACTTTGCTAATTACATTGTTGCGTTGCCTAAGAGGCTATCTTGGGATGTATGGCTTCGTCTGGCACTCCGTCCTTGCATCAGATTGAACGATTCCCGAGAAATGGTCTTCTCTGAAGTGAAATGTTTTGCCTGACTGACCTACCGTAGGTCAGCGACCTTACAAGGTGCATCTAAATGCTGTTGCCACACGATCCGCTATTCAAGTATCTACACTTTAACAAATGTTGGCGTGACTACGCCGGGTTTTTTTGGAAACCATTCCGAAAAACCTTTTCAAAATCAAATTGAACCCCCGAGGGTTTTTTCCGAAATGGTTTCCCAACGGCGCGACGTAGCCGCGCCAAATTTGCCTCAACTGTATTCAATTGAGTAGAGAATCGTGTGGTATTAAAAAATTGGACGTACCCTGTAATGTCATTGACCGAGGGCAGGTCAAAGTCAGGCCATGAATTCAGCGAAGTCAATTTCGAGGGAATCGTTGAATCTGATGGAACAACGGGGGTTTGGACGAAGCATACATCTCTGAGATGCTTTCCCAGGCAACACAACTGAATGATCAAACTCCTTTAACCTATGATCAGATGAAAGGGTCAGACCAGGGTAAAACCAACCTGTTTTATTACTTTGAGGGTTGCTATATAGGGTAGTTTCTGGTGCTCATTTCGAATTAATTGATGACAGAAACCGCATGGACCGTCTTACATGGACTTCTTATAGGTCAGAATAGGTCACCTACCTAACATGACCCAGATTAGCATTTGGTCTTTAGGAATATACTACCTGGCCTGAACTTAGTCGCTTATTCCAATGCAAAATTCAACAGTCTTCTATGATCTTGGTCACCACAACCTTCGAAAGGTCAAACCATGTTCCTTACCCTGAATGAGCATGTGACCTTTTGCTTAGAACAAGCATCTAGGTTCGGAGGACAATTTGGAGACCATCTCAACGTGTGACCCTATTTGATCTTATTTGACCAGGTCATGACCTAGGCGGCTCAAATTTTTACCTAAGTGAGTTCGTAGAGGCCAACACACAGTGTGGATTTGGTATCACTAGCCCTCTTAGTTTTTGAGATCTTAGGGGCGCCAACATGACCCCCACCCGAGCGAAGGGTTCCCAACTGGCCACCCGGGCGCGTATCAATGCACGTTAACATATCGTTATAAGCTTCCCTGCAGCCCCACGGTCGTCAACAACGAACAGCAACGATGTCCTACGACGGTCGGTGCCCGCCACTCGTCAATTAGTTCATTACTGAGGCATGAGACAGGGGTAGGTAAACAATCACTTACACTTAGCTTAGCCACGCGCCACTTACATCCGCGTACCGCTATACCACTTAACAATATGTTTCCAATCCGGCCGTACTAGTAATTTATTTTTTATACCGGCATAGTTTTGTTTCCATGCAAACCAGAATTTCTTGGACGTGATGTTGAAAACTTGTAGTTATGGTGTGGCGGGATTTTAGTTGCATATTTTTCTACTACTGAAAGTTGACACATCGTAGATGCAAATTTAAGTTCCAGCGCGGTGGTACGTATTTCATGCATTAAAATCGCGTCCCTTGAGTTAAAATGGTTCTTACCTGCAGACTGCCTGCCTTAAGCGGCTACCTATGCTTGCTGGCGTTAATACTACAGTCCTGAAGGCACCAGCTGACCCAAACCTTCCAGGTCGGTATGTCCAGCGAATCAAGAATTCTCTGCTGGTACTTCGCATACCAATAAGAGAATGCGGAAGTTTCCTATGATTGGGGCTCATAGACACTTAAAGCCGTCATGCACGGCCGTGAATCTAGTGCTAAATTTATTCGAGTATTAGAGGGGACTGGAGCCTCCAACGTCATCCCCGCCCTCCATAACGCAACAGTTCCCGTATACCTGTCTTTATTGATAACTGTTTGTAAGTGTCGAGGCAGAGGAAACCTCGCAGTTAAAGGAAGTATTTCACATTTCTATGGGGTTTTAAACTCATCTATCTATTTTGAATCACATCCGGTGCAGTCCGCAGCCTTGCCTTGAAAATACCTCAACAAATTCCTCTAGTTTCTGAGCTGCGCACCCGCAAAGATGTGCTGACTATTTCGGGCAGACCATTTCAAGGCTACCCAGGTATCCACGACGCCAAAATCACGTCAATCAAATTCCGTCGTTCCATTAGCCATGCGACGATCCAGGCCAAGCAGGATATAATTGTCGAGGCAATTATATCCGGCGTTCGTGAGCACGACCTCTAGATATATCGGCCGTCAATTCGCTCTCAGTCAATGCTGTGCAAAATACGATGACGCAATCAAACAATGGCGCATTGAGGAGTACGCTTACCAAACACAGAAATCATGTTTTCTGGAGCAGCCTTCTCCACTTACAAGTGTACCAATAGTTATGAGTCAGCTTCTTTCATTATATGTGGCGGTTGCTTCAACATGCTCAAATGTGGAACATTTTTTCATCAGCACCTACACTTATGCACGCTGATATCGTAGTTTACTTGCACACGTATTTCACAGCTGATGTAAGGTCTCCACGGCCACTAAGCTCTGAGGGAGAATTTTGCAACTGACTGCGGCCTTCAGGTAACAGGTGGTGCATCTGAGAGACACTCGGATTGGTGCATGTTTTGCACTCGATAGCCATTTGTCATATCAATTGATGTGGAGCCAATCGCACTTTATAATTATTGCCCTTTGCTGGTCCTGGCATATCGTTTTGGGATGGAGAAAGATGCTACCCCAATTATCGCCATGCAACACGAAAGGGTGCACGTCAATGTTTCTTATAGACATGGTAGTTACCATCCACACGCCCCTTCCATTCCTGCTTTCGTATATATCATTTTACATGCCTCCCGAATCTGGATTTAAACCAAACTGAGACAATTTTTGGATGTCAATAGATCAATTGATGGCGTTTTTAGCGCGGATTGGATCAGAAGCGGATTGTGAGGCATTTTACATGCGTGGCGCGAAAAGGCTGATGCAGCTAAGGTCTCCGCACGAGCGCCAGTCTTTTCGTCATTTAGCGTAAAGCGATTTTTTTGTTTCTTTTTTTTTACCAGCCGGTAGAGTGGACGCGGATCATGCGTTCATGCCCTGGTGTCGTATGCCATGCTCTCATGCTCCCCAATATTACTCACCTGAGGGTGTTGAAGACGTCGATCGCCATAACATTGACCCAGAATAGCGCTGCTGCGAAGGCGCTGAAAGCAACAATGGCCAGCAGAACACAGCCGTCGGTGCCGTAATCCTGCCACAATGCCGCCATGGAGCAGAGGTAGCCGATGAGCAGGCAGACGCACAAGGACGTCACACATTTTCCGGGCAGGTTCCGTGTTTCGGGCACGGCACAGAACGCCGCCAGATGCAGCAGGAGGCACAACACGGACGCTGTACGACATGCCACCAAGGCGTAAGAAAAGGCGGTTTGGAAGCTTTTAAGTTGGAAACCCGGGTCACAAAAGGTTAGCTGTCCGTCACTGAGCTCGTAATAGCCGCGATCCAAGAACAGGTCATACGCCGGCACGTACGCGACGTCTTTGTCGCTGACCTGAAACTGGTACTCGTTTACGGTAACCTTGGGGCAGGTCTGGGAGCCGGTGCCGTTGGCGACGCCAGAGGAAACTGAGACTTCCCTGCAGATCTTGAAGAAGGGGTCCCAGAGTCGGGTGCCGGTACAGACCCTGGCTGCTCCCACTGCGTTCATGCCCGACCGGGTGGTGATGTCGAGAAGAAAGACTGATGAATGCATGCGAGGACGCCTTCCCTCAGCAAAATTGTTGGTGACCGGCCAGTACGTAATGTACTGTTGTGGTACATAGTTGCACAGGGCGCAGTGCGCGTTGCGGTACCTGATTCTGCCGTGATACATGTAGGCACTGTACGCGGTGCACATTAGGGCGAGTTCTAGGTTGGTCCAGTTAGCCGCACAGCTGGAAATCTTGGGTTGACAGTTCCGCATCAAATGTTCTTTGTCGTTATTGCCCGAATGTAGGGAAATTACGCACGCATGAAACGTTCCGTTGTTTTCGTCCATTAACTGCAATCCCCACTCTCCAGCAGGGTTCTGCAGTAAGTTCTCTTCAATGAAGGTATCAGTGATATTGAGGGCGTCCTGGTGTTCTTTGGTCAGTGTCGGACAGGATATCGCCGGCGTCCAAAACACAGACCCTGCTAAGTCACCGTGGCATATGGCGCAGTAATAGTTGCTGTAGGTCATCCCGCTGGCGGGGCTTGTAACCGGTAAAGCCGCGAACGGATCCTCGGCGAACGCCGCGTTGCGAGCACACAGGCTTCGCACCGAGGTGTCCCGCCACTGGACCGGACACCGGGACACCATGTACACATACCCGAAATCTGGGGATCGCCTGCATGCCAAGTCGTTGCGGGGCAGGGCCTGTGGGCGCACATCCAGGCAACAATCTCCGTACAGCGCGCACTCCTCGTCGCAGGAGCACTCTGCGAGCTCCCGTATTACGGGTGGGCATTTGTGCATCTCACTGCGCCACAGGTTGAGTGAGGCCAAGCTTGCGTCGATTATTGTCACGAGCTGGGCGTGCGCACGTGCCGCTGCCCGAAGGTTGGGCGGGGCGGCTACGATCGGCGCCGCCAGCAGGAGAAGCGCGGCCGCCGCCAGCATCGCCGCAACGACTGTGGTTGCGGCGGAGGGGTGACGCGCGCCCGTCCTCTGGGTTGGCAGAATGGCCTGCCCACGCCTCCGCTTCGCTGCCCTCGCCGCCCGAGCCAGACGCCGGATCACTGTGAAGGTAGGTCAAGTTTCAGCCCGGCGGCGGTTGGTCGGCCTCGCTATGTGATCTCAGCGCTGACCACCGTAACGTAACGATAGGTGGCAGAAACTAGGCCACGGGGCATCTCTTTAATGCGTCACCGGTTTGTAACCCGTTGCGGGGCCAAGCGTCAGCCCCCGCCACAGGCCTTCTGACGTGGCTGTCAGGTCAGTTAGGCACCCGTTACCACGACCGGTGCTTGGAAGAGGACATTGGGTCATATACAAGGGGCCCCCGAACGGCTCGTAACGCACTGGAGGTGAGCTACGCGGCGTGCGCACCGTCAAGCTTCTAACCATGGAGGCATATAGGAGGAGAAACAGACGGAGTGCCATGGCAGAATGCATTGTACTTGTCGACCACCGATTGGCCTGACTCGCCCGTCCACTGAGAGCGTCGGGCTCAGCCAGTGTATAATTACCCTCCTTTGGAAACCCCCAACCGAAAAATGGCCTAATCTCCCAGGATCATGGAACTCACCTCCACCACTGGGTCACCAAGAGTCCAGCACCGTTCAGTTTGCCTAGATCAACATGCTTGACATAAACAATACAGGCTTTGGAGTTTCTGGAGTTCTATGCTGACAGTTATCAACTTTCGATATGCCAAGAGGTACCGAATAAACGTCGTTAGCAAGCAAAGTTACGCTTCACGCTCTGCTGCTGATAAAAGCTGAGCAATTGTCATCATTCCACAGCACCTGGCATGCAAACGGAAACGGTAAAACGAAGTCAAGCACTAACTTTCAGGATAATACCATACCTACGTAAGCTGTTCAGTGCGTTTGCGGGAAAGATTATGCATAGAGAAAAGACGTTACAGGTGGTTTTATCTCCCGTAGTATATCTCTCTCGTAGATAGAGAAGAGAAAATGTTTTTTTTTGGGGGGGGGGGAGCTACGTGCCTTAAAGAAGACGAATATCAGAAGTGATATTCGTGTCAATTGTTCGAGGCATTGTTGTTCGATAAGCAACTGATAGAAAGCCCTAAGCCAGCCCTGGTCCAAACTGATGACTTGTCCACATACTCTATTACAAACAAAATCCAGTGCATAGATTTTATTAGGTGCCGGAAATGTACAAGATGTGTAATCATGTCGTAGAACTTAAGTTTCCATTAAACGTTTGACAGGCTCTCGTTTGTGAAAACATGAAGCAGATGCTACGATAGTAAAAACATTGGAGTTCGAATTAGTGTTATGTCATAATTTTCCCACGATTGTAAAGAGCGTGAATGCTGCATTACACTTGAAAGCATGCATCACTTTTCAGCAAACAGTCATCATGTTCTAAAGGAAACTCATACGAAAACCTGAACCTGCCCGAACAGTTCTTATTCCGGTAGATAAAAAACGCCACTGCTGGCGTAAATCTGCTGCAAAGGTACCTAATTCGACAAGTTTTCTTACTGTGCTGTCAGGCAATCGCTGCTGTACACACACAATTGACAAATATAATAAATATGTATTAAACGGCGAAGTGGTACGCGTGGAGAAGTACGTGACGTTGACATATCAGCGAAGTGGAGCAGGACAAGAACGAGTCAGGGAGACGCAAAACAAAAAACAAGTTGACAGGCATTGGGAATCATCTTTAAGAAAGCAACATACTGCGGAAGAAATCTGGCTTTTTGGGCATGGGCGTAATCACGACTCTGAGCTCGTGGGGACAATCGAGATTGAAAGACTGAGACTGGAATGTAAAGGAGACTACTTGTAGTGATAATGCCATTTTGAATTGGAAGTTTGCAATAACATAAACATTCTACAGACAACATTGGCGGATTACACGCATGGGCATACAGTAAATAAAGAAGGGATACAAATCATGTTTTTCGTTCCCCAATCTCTATGGAAGTCTCGCCATCACTGGGCGTGCCATGACAGCCAGAAGACAGGAAATGGAGGATAGGTGGCAATAGGACAGAACAGGACATGTTTGCGGCCGGGGCAGGATGAGAGAGGACAAGTTAGAACAGGATTGAGAAGATAATAGCACAGGGTAGGAAAGGACAGGGCAAAATCTTGAAACGCATGAAACAGCAGTCGTCATCGGGACTGAATGTCGCGCTCAACTGATGAGGCCGTGACGTCGCTTGCTTCTCACCCGGGCAGGAAGGGAGGGCACCGCGAGAAATTGAACCCTGTACCTCTGGTTTCCCAAGCGTGTAGTGGTTGACGCAAACACTCAAGTACCAGTACACTGATCCAATGCACTATCGGCACCCTGGGTGTAGAACAACAAGCAAATTAAGCTAGGACAGTTATGGAGGTGGCATGAAGGGACATGACAGAAAAGAAGAGGGTGGCGGATTACAGCACACAATGACGATAGGCAAAAAGAAAATTGTGAAAATAAATTGCGAGAGATGTTCCTTTCATCCTCACGCCAATTACAGTACTAACTTCGGCTACTGCACTCCCCCCCCCCCCCCCCTCCACACCTTGCCTCTTCTTTCCACGCCGCATTGGCTAGTGTCGTCGTGATCGCTCCACCTACTACGCCCCTGTGTCCCCTGAATGTGGGACACTCCGCGGCGATCTACGGCCAACGCGGGCGGTGGGCGGCAATCGACGATGGTGTTCGATGGCAAACGGACGGGTGGTGTCGCATCGACCCCCGCTGTAAGTGTGCTTTACTTAAAACGGCGAATCAGGGCGAGGGTTATTTAGTTACCTGCGTTCTCTCTTCGAGGCCACCGGCTATGCTTATGTGCACTGAGTACGCACACAATAAACTAGTAAGCAGGCTCGAAGTAAGCCTTCTATGCACTAAGGAGATTAACTGCTGCTTTGCAACGTCCCTAATTTAAGTAACTCTGCTTTTTAACAATAGGATCGCAATGCGCCAGTATTTGTGGATTAGCGATAATTTTCATTGCTTAAGGCCTTGCACACAAACGTAAATATCACACATGGCTAAACGTCATGTAAACTGCAATCACACGCTTTGACATTTCTCTGGTAGGACTGTCATAACCTAAACTCTTCGTGACATTTGCAAACTGATGGAGGGAGAGGGAGCGGAAGGGAACCATGGCCGCTAATACGATACAGATAACACATTCTTCCTGGTTCTGGAATCAGGAACCAGGAACCAGCTACCGGGAAGAAAACTTGACTGCTGACTGACTGCTGCATTACACTGTGAATATGGATAGTCTGACAGCAAATAAATCATCATATCCAGTAAGGGACTGGCACCAAACTCTTTGGCTGACCCAGGCTTAAGCGCAAGGCCACCCAATTATGGAGCAGGCCGCTACCGACGGCGCTGTTAAGACCGGGTGGCGCACGGAAGTGGAAAATGTACGGTCCATCGTGCATGAAAACGTTGACCCGGCGCGCCATGGGAGTTTGGCCCCTCTGGACAAAGGAGATCCCTCAATACAACACAAAGAAGCTTTTGTTCTTTTGGTGCCAGACTGATCGAAATCGGCATGACAGCATTCGATGTACAGCCCTCCGAAGACGATGCCTTTAAAGACAATCCGCTGGTCGGAAAAGTGCCCCGCGGAGTACTTCTGGCGTCTAGTGGAATAGAGTAGTTGTGTTTAGAAGAAAAAAAATATTAAAAAGGTTTGAAGGTTTTGGAGATCATCAAAATGCTGGGATAAAAGGCCTGAACGTACTTTCGATATCCCCAGATCTCCTTAGCCTCTTAGACAAACGTTGGTGGCGTCGCTCTATCACAGAAAGCTAGGCAAACAAATACGACTCCAATTTGGTTCTTCTCAAACATTTAATAATTGTGGAGAAGATTAGACCTATCAAAACGGCTTTCCAATCGTTGTTATGGGCACCATATGGCCAAGAAGTCCGCGTGCTTCAAATCCCATATCACCACCACTCCTCGCCGAATTGTTTTGATACAGAAGGAAGAGACAATTTCGATTAAAAAAGCAAGTCACTTTCCCCAATGCGTCGGGAGCGTCTGAGATATTATCACTTTTGCACTTTGTCTTCGATAATAGCGACAGAGCTCAACATGCTTTCGTAATTGCAACCACAGTCCAACAGTATGAGTACCATGACGTCGCACTCAATGCCCGTAAATCCCTTAAGCACGCCGGAATTTGGCGGAACTTTTGGCGGTACCATGAAGGGTCAAGTCCTAAAAATTGAGCATCGAATGAAAAAGCTACGACATAGGTTTTACATAACTCGGTCAGAATCTCCCAAGACGTGTTTTAATTCTTCTCCTTCCAGAACAAAAAACCTGCGTTCCAAATGAAGCACTGAGCTAAACATATCACGCAGAACTTAAGTATTACAACTTCCATATTCCAGTTCAGCTCTAAGGCTTTGCACGAAAGCTACTCAAGTTGTGGTAGCATTACCCACACTCGTTCTCCATAGGACCTGCACTAAGTCCAAAACATCAGTTTTAACACAATTTTCTGCATGGCTCAGCATTTTGTTTTGAAGTAGCCGTTCCGACGGGAAAAACGGCAGCGCGCGCCCCGCTCACAGCAACGCAAGAAGTTAATTTGTGTTGCCTATTCTAACAAGCGCGTTATGTAATATTCGTAATACCCAAATTGGCCTAAATCATTGGGCAATAAAACACGATGCAATATGATAAGCAATAACCAAACCAGCAACCAAACGTTACAGCATGACTGGTCTTTAGCCTATGGCGTTAAGCGGCCTCACTTTTTAAGGGCAATTTGACTTTGGGAACAAGGTTTTCTGGGATGCCCAGCTCGGCACAAGACTGTGTTTACGAATCAGAACATGTCAGCAATACATCGCGTGGTCTAGCAACGCACATTTTCAAACGCCCACCAAAGCACTTCTGTTTAGATGGCTTACGCCGTCTGCTGTGAAACCACATACATTCAGTGCTTTTCTGAT